CGCTGGTGAGGCCACACCTTGAATACTGTGTGCAGTTCTGGGCCCCTCAGTTCAGGAAGGATAGTGAGGTGCTGGAGCAGGTCCAGAGAAGAGCAACGAGGCTGGTGAAGGGACTTGAGCACAAGTGCCATGAGGAGAGGCTGAGGGAGCTGGGGGTGTTCAGCCTGGAGAAGAAGATGCTCAGGGGAGACCTTATCACCCTCTGCAACTCCCTGACAGGAGGTTGGAGTCAGGTGGGGGTTGGTCTCTTCTCCCAGGCAACCAGCAGCAGGACAAGAGGGCACAGACTCAAGCTCTGCCAGGAGAGGTTTAGGTTGGATATTAGGAAGAGATTTTTTTATGGAGAGAGTGCTCAGGCATTGGAATGTGCTGCCCAGGGAGGTGGTGGATTCACTGTCCCTGGAGGTTTTGGATTACTAACCACAGGCAAACATATAACAGTGTAAAAGCTATGAAAATAATTTAAAAATCTATGTTGTAAAAGGTTATTTTACTGTGGTTTTTTTCTAGTGGTTGTTCAGCATTTCTGTAATTGGCAAAATGCAGTTTTTGTGTAGATTGACACCACAAATAAGCAGCAGTTTCTGTTATCTTGTTCCATTGTAACAGTCACACTGTATAGACAAGGAGGAAGACATAGTTCCTAACTTGAATAGCTGGAACTTCAAAAAGAAAGATGTAACTAAGTTTAAAAGAAGAAAGTCACCATTTACAAAGGGAACAAGTGATTTAGGAATGTGTCTGTCTTTTAAGTCCACTGAATGTCCCCCTTATGTGATGACACAACTGCACTTGCAGTTTAATGATTCTGAAACATTTTGAGGAAATTGCCTTCATTAAAAACTGCTAAATGAATCCACTCTGTAGTTTGGTGTCAACTTCAGGATGGTAGGATTGTCAGATATATTTATAAACAAACATACCATAGGTAAGTGCATTCTCAGTACCTTTTAGAATCACAGTTTTCCTTAGTTTGATTGTGATCTTGGTTTTATTCCCAGACAGAATGTAATGTAGTAATATTGTTAGTCAAACCTCCTTTCTGGTTTATGTTTTATGTGCATCAGGACTTAATTTTCAGGAAGGACTCCCTTCAGTGAAAGCTTCATAAACCTTGAGAGTTTAGATTCTTTACTTCACTGCCTAGGGAATACACAAATACTAGATTTTTGAAGCTTTGTGGTTTTAAGGGTTTGACTTTTTAATTCAATTTTTTGTTTCTTCAGTTCCTGAACGTACTCCTCCCTCCCTCCCTCTCTCTCCCCCACATTTTTTTTTCCTAAAGCTTTGCTGACCATGGTTTTGAAATCTTAACAGTAAGTGCCAATATTTAAATAGACCTATTAATTTTTTAAGCCTTAATGATTTCTGGGAGACTGTTTCCTTGACAAATGCCATAATTTGGACATGGAACTGGAAATTTGGCAGTGAGGGCTTTGGGAGCAGAAACATGCCTTTTGCTGTTCCTCTAGTCTGCAGCAGCTTAGACCAGCTGATAGGTCTTTGAGACATCTCACTTCTTGTAGAGTCAGTATGGATGTCTGTCCTTGTTCTAAGCTCTTCTAAGGCAGGAGTGGTTGTGCTGAATGATGAATGAACATATGAATGTGCTCTCTGAGACTGAATCTTAGTTGGGGTAACACTGGGGAATGGACAAATATCAGTAACTAAAACAGTATTCATCTGTGTGTAAGAAAATTAATCCAGGCACAGCAGGTGCAGAAGAGGTTTACTTGGGAGAGTCTGTGCACGTTCTCCACATAGGAGAGGAAAACTTAAAAACCTGAGCAGCTCATCTACACCAGTCACACAAATAAAGTCTGAGAATGGAAATGCACTATTGCAGTTAGTAGATAGCACTGTCATACAGGAAGATAAACTTGTTTATGTATAAATCCTCCCCCCCGTCATACAGGAAGATAAACTTGTTTATGAATAAATCCTCCCCCAAAAAAAAACCCCAAGCAACCCAACAAAAAAGCAAACATAAACCCACAAACAAAACATAAACCAAAAAAAGAAAAAAGAGCTGGACGTTACAAGCATCTTTTTAATCAGAAGAGCAAAGGTCTGAAACAACTTTCCATTATGAGAAATGTGACTAAAAAGCTTCTCCTGTAAGATTAAGCAAAATTAGTTCTTACCAGGATTCTGTGATGAGGTAACCTGAGATGGCAAGGGGCTTGATCCAGAGAATATCTTCAACCCCAGGGCTCACAGATCTCAGATTCCTGCTCTGCTGTTTGGAACTAAATGATCTTTAAGGTAACTTCAAACTGTTCTATGGTTCTATGATTTGCACTGGCATCAGAACTTTCAAAGTTTTTAACCAAGTTATCTATGCCCTAACTATCTTTCCAGTTTTATTTAACCTTCAGCATGTTACTGCATCACAAATCATCCCTTAAGTTTTTCTGTTTCTGCCATGGAATTATGATCTTGAATTATTACATCAGTGCTCCATTTTATCAGCTTCACTAGTGATAGTGTGTGGCTCCTTTGGGAACAATGGAGCTCTATATTTCTTTGTTTGTGCTTAATATCTAAGTTGTAAATACTATCCAGTCTTAAACTGTGTTTTGATTTTAGGAAGTTTTGGAGTGTTGGAGTGTCTGCACTAAATTAATAGTTATTGCCAATCACAACTCTTCAGGATATTACTGGAACTGGCCCTGGAATATCTTCCAACATCAACAAAAAGTAGATTTTTCTCTTGAGATGAAATATCTTTTTCTAACGTGTCAAGCATTCTGCATTCTTCAGACAATCTCTAAAAGATGATAGACTGTGTCACTGATGAGTCAACAAAGAAGGGATGCCTTATACTATAATTAAGTGGACTATATAATAGAAAGAGGAGACGACTAACTCTTAGAACAGCCCACAGAGAGCTCCAAATAATAAACATCCTACTTGAACTGAGATGATGATAGCTGAAAATGCATTAAGTAGACAGAGAAACAAAAACAAATGAAGGTGAGAACTCAGTCAAGCAGGCTGAAGAGCAGTAAGCACTTAGTCAGGAGCACAGCCCATGTTAGTGTTAATGCATTTCGCATTAGTGTGATGTCTGTAAAATACTGACTCCTGGCATCAGAGTTAATGACAGAACTCTGCAACAGGAGATGCAGGAACAGTAATACCACAAGAAAGATTATTTTCTGGTAATGTTTCAAGGGTTTTTTTAAATAATATTGTAGCATGTGAAAGAACTGGTAGCAAATCGTGACAATTGTTTCCTAAATGTCTTATTGTTCTGAAGTTGAGTTTTGATCAATAATTGATGGAACAAAAGAGATCAGATAGTACCAGAAACACGCACCAAGCCAAGTTATTTTTAGAACGTTGTTCAGAGGACCAGATTAATCAGGCTAAACTTTTAGTAAGAAGATTACACATATATGGATCAATATTAGGAGGATTTGTGGCTTTATTAGCAACTTCGGAGGAGGAAATACCTTCATGTTTGCTGCTGACTAAAATGAAATACTTTCTGTCACTGGTTGAGATTCATACATTTCAGCCCTGGAGAGTTGTACAGAGGACAGTGCTGTGTGTCTAAAACCATTTGCCACTAGCCTAGTTACCTAGTCCAAGCCTGAGTTGTTGTCAGTCAGGACCCAGTCTGTGCTTGCTGCAAGGAAAGGCCTGAAGGCAGTACTGTAAAGGTGAGGGAGGGCTGTTATCTGCTGAAACAGCAGAAATCTGCTCTTCAGTGGAGCTGCTGTATATGGATTGGATGGCCAGAACCTCTAGTAGCAGTGTAATCTGGTCTTGAGCCCATTTCCCCTGTTGTCTTTCCTCTGTGACACAGAGTTGGTACTGATAGGATAGATCTTGCAGAAAAAAAAAAACCTTTCACATAATGAAAAAGCAATTTTAAATGAATGTACTTGAATGAGCTACTACTATTTGTGCATATCTTCTGTTCATGGTTTAGATCCAAAAAGAGAAACTAGTAAGTTCTTATTGAAGATTTAAGAGGTGTCTGGATCTGGTGCTGGAGGATCTGGTTTAGGGGTTACAGCAGTGACAGGTTAATGTTTGGGCTTGGATGATGTTAGAGGTCTCATCCAGCTTTGGTGGTTCTATGATTCTATGATTTTTATTTCATCATTATAGGAGAAACCCTGAACAAAGGAACTGCTGCAAAATTGTATTTTTCTCTGTTTACTTTTGCTTTCAGTACTTAGAACATAAGATTTTTATTCAGTCTGGGTTAGTCTTGGGTGAACTAAATGCAAGTCTGCTTAGGATTTAGTAACTAGCCTATGCATTTGCATTTTAAAATCTTGTCGATAGAAAGCATCTAATATCTGTCCAAATTATTTATGCTTTAGGTTGAAATCACGGCTTAACTAGGAGTCCAACCATGAACCTTCCACTCTGCTGGAACCCCTAAACCATATCCTTCAGTGTCAGACACCTCTTAAACATTTGCAGGGATGGTGACTCCACCACCTCCCTGGGCAACCTATTCCAGTGCCTGAACATCCTAACATGGAAAACATTTTTCCTAACATCTAATCTCAGTCTCCCCTGTCTCAGCTCATGGCTGCTCTCCCTGCAGCCATGGCAGGAGAGACCATCCCACACCTCTCTACAGCCCCTGTCAGGGAGTTGCAGAGAGCCATGAGGTCACCCCTGAGCTGCCTCTTCTGAAGGATAAACAAACCCAATTCCCTCAGCCCTTCCTCACAGGACATGTGTTCTAGACCTTTCCTGAGCCTCGTTGCCCTTGGCTGGACTCACTCCAGTGCCTCAATGTCCTTTTTAAAGTGAGGGACCCAAAACTGAGCACAGCACTGAGGTGTGACCTCACCAGTGCTGAGTACAGGGGGGTGATCACTGCCCTAGTCCTGCTGGACACACTACTCAGGCCAAGATGCCATTGGCCTTCTTGGCCTCCTGTGCACACTGTTGACTCACATTGAGCTGCTGTCACCAGCACTCCCAAGTCCCTTTCTGATGAACATTTCTTTTGGTTTGTTTTGTTTCAGCCTCTTGGAGCCAGTGACTATTTGGAAGTATCAAAGCATTTTGACACTGTGTTTGTTCGTGACATACCACTTCTTACAATAGGTAAAAGGACACAGGCTCGTCGTTTCATTACTCTTATTGATACCTTTTATGAGCATAAGGTGAGAACCAAACCTTTCCTTTGTATATGAGGAATAACACTGGGAGTCCTAAAACCTGACTGTTACAATTGGTTTGAAGTAAGGCTTTCTGTAGCAATGATTTGGAAAACATAAGCAAAATGAACTAGCACTACAAGGAAACATCATTCCAGCTTCACAAAACAAAGGCCCCATCACAATAAAGGCAAATAAGCAAGTATTTTTTAGTTTCCTTTAAGTATTAAGCATGAGCATAAATAAAAGCCTGAGCAAATTTGCCTTTCTTGAATGGGGATGTTATTTCTTTCCTAACCCAGGAAAACTACAGAAGCCATGTCATCATTTTAGTAATTAAAGATTTTGCTGCCAACTGTGCTGAACTAAATTAAGTTTTTTAGATTTTAATCTGTGTGGGCAGTTGGTCAGGAATTAGTGCCTTCCTGATCAGGATACTGAGGAGTTAATAGCACAGTTACATTATTCAGTTTGAAGGAAACAGCCACTGTAGGCTTTACATTAAGTTGCAGAATTGTTCATGGAATAGTAGTGATAAATGCAGAACTTCATGTGGATTTACAATGATTTCAATCATGGAAGCAAAACCAGCATGAAGCAAAATCAGCATGACTAAAACAAAGGGAAGTTCATTTTTTTAAATGGTAATGCAAGATATGAAACCCAATCTTATGAGTGATTATATATGCACACACTTCAATGCTTATGCAGTTGGGAAATACTGAATGAGGTTGGAGGTTTTCAAGAATGTTCTGACATTGGTTGTTGATCAGAAAGGCCCCAGTACAGTGAGGTTTTGGACTAACTCAGCTGTGAGTAGTCCCATTCAAATCAGCCAGATTCTTTATGCTTTATGATTTGGAAATGGACAGTTTCTAACAGGATACACTGGTATTAATAACCTTATGTGTCAGAAATAGGGGGTGCTCTGCTCTAGCTATGTGCTGTCATTAAGAATTGCAAGTCACTTTCTATTACTTCCTCCTTAGGAATAAAACAAGTATTAAACTCCCATCAAAAGTAATTGGGAAAAACACCTGAAGTATTAAACTCCCATCAAAAGTAATTGTTTGGGAAAAACACCTGTGAGAGTATATTTGTGGATGCCTGTCCACAATGCAAATGTTTTGCCTGCAGACTCCCAACAAGAGTCTCCTCCTCTGGTATTGTTTCAGGCTGTCTTCACTGCAGCCCCCCCAGAGATACCATAGCTCACTGCACATTGTGTCTCTTCCTAGCAGACATGGAAACAGCATCACTGCTGTTACCAGCAGGGAACTTGCACCGGAGTAGCACAGATGAAAGCAAAGGAGGCTCCACTTGGCCTGGGAAATTTGGAATACGAGTGCAACACACTTACTGCTGAGAGGAATCTAACTGGGGGTGAAAAGAAAGCATTGGTTACTGTGTAGCTGTTATTTTAGAAAGTAAATTTTATGGTGAACTCATTGTCTGTATAGCAGATACTCTGAGTATTTAATAACACAGTTAGACTGTTCTCTGAGGAAAGGCTACATGAGTTGTTACTGAAAAAATGATCCTGTAAGGTTAATATTCCAAATGACTAAGTGAGGTCAATCTGTAACAGCAGTGCTAATAAGAGAAAGGGAAAATACTTGGGGAAAAAAACCTCCAAGGTCATAATTTGAAGTTTACTTTCCATAAATCATGTATTCTATCCCTTTTCTGTACAGCCCAAGTGATGATGTTGTTGCTGTTTTGCTCCTCTCAGGTGCGTATTATCTGTTCTGCTGTGACTCCTCTCCAGAGCTTGTTCCTGCTAGAACAAGACAGTGGTGAGCTACAGGACAACAGAGTGTTGATGGATGATTTGGACTTGAGCCAGGTACATGATATGAACATCGTCTCCCTTTCGTAACAGAATTGAGTTCAGTCTTATAATTACAGCAGTATTTTAGGAAGAGGAATCAAGAAAACATTTAACTAGTGATTTGCTGCTTTTTCTGCAGTGTATCTGTCACTGATAATTACATGTTGTGCTGTTTCTTCATAGTCAAAGAAAATGTCACAATATAAAGAACCATTTTGTGTAAGTTTCAGGGTCATTTTGATTGTTAATCGTTATATCTAGTCACTCGTGTATGAAAATACTGATTTAAGTTTAGCTCCTACATTTAAAATACAGAAGTAAAAGGTGATCTGTTCTACCTCCTCCTAGACAGTACAGAACAGCCTCACAAGTCCTCACAAACAGTGCTGGTTTACATGTTCTTTATTCTCTTTTTCCCTATAGCCTAGTTATTGCTAATGAATATTTAAATAATTTCTCTAAATCAGTATACAATTAGTCAACAAAGAAGGGAAAAGAAATGGTTAACATGTCATCATGTTGTTTTAAAATTAAATTATTCTTTTTGCTATGCCCCTTCAGAGGATAACCTAGCTGAAACAGGTGCTTTGCTTTGATTCTTGGATGCTCATTTCAGTTTTTGGTGCCGTGCTGCTGCCTTGTTTTGTCAAAGCCTGTAGAGCACTCAGCATTAGGAGCTGGATAAGATGCACTTCCATAGAGCCACATCTCTCACTGTTCTGTGTACTGGTTTTGTGTGTTAATGTAGGATTCTGCCAAAGGACTCTCCATGTTCACAGGAGAAGAGGAAGTCTTTGCCTTTCACCGAACTGTCTCACGGCTTACAGAAATGCAAACTGAACAGTACTGGAAAGATGGGGACAGAAGCAAAAAAACATAACTAAAAGTTGAATGAAATTACCAAGAAGTAAAATTACAGCATTGGAAAGCTTTTTAGCACAACTGAAATAATAATTGCACTTTATGATCTGGACCATGTTTTCTTTCATTAATTATTTTTTGAGTTTTAGACATGAGGACTTGGTTGTTTTTCTGTATCACCTGTGTGTGGACATGTGAAATTTTGCCTTCATTTGCCCCTTTTCAAAGCTGGCTGGGTGGCCAGGCCCAGAAAGTGATGGTGAGTGGAGTTCCATCCAGCTGGTGGCTGCTCACCAGTGGTGTTCCCCAGGGCTCAGTGCTGGGGCCAGTCCTGCTTGGTATCTTTAGCAGCAATCCAGATGAGGGGATTGAGTGCTCCCTCATTAAATTCGTGGAAGACACCAAGTTGGGTGGGAGTGTTGATCTGCTGGAGGGCAGGAAGGCTCTGCAGAGGGATCTGGACAGGCTGGATCCATGAGCCAGGACTAAGTGCCAAGTCCTGTACTTGGGTCACAACAAGCACTACAGGCTTAGGGAAGAGTGGCTGGAAAGCTGCCCAGCAGAAAAGGACCTGGCCAAGAAGAGCAGTGGCATCCTGGATGTATCAGAAACAGTGTGGAACACACCCTGGAAGTGTTCAAGAAATTATTGGACGTGGCACTTAGCACTATTAAATATTTGATATGGTGATGTTTGGTCAAAGGATGATCTTGGAGGTCTTTTCCAGCCTTAATGATTCTGTGATTCTGTGATTCTCTAAAAATATAACCTTGATGTTCATGAAGTTTAATGGGATTAGAACTTTCCTGGAGAATTGGTCTAGAGACAAAGTTAATGGACTATGTAGGGTTGATAGTAGATTTATAACGTCACATGATGAGGGCACTTTGTGGCTCATGCACTGCTTCTATCATGTACACTGCAGCTTGCACAAAAGAAAAATCAAATTCTTTCTTTATGAAACTCCTGATATTGTCCCTACTAGAATCCTGGAAGCCCTGTGTAGTATGTTGTTGGGGTTTTTTTCCCTATCTTCTGAGTCTAGCCATCTGCTGACTTTCAGGCTTCAGAAGGTTTTTTTGTAATCAGACTCTTGCTCAGCCTGGTTCATTGAAAACTAGTGGTTTGAACCAAGAGAGGACCCTGAGGAGAAGCTCGAAGGTACTCGAAACCACACAGGATTAAGATCTAAGTAATGGATGGGGAAGGAAACTTTATGGTACGACAGGCTATGCTGTAATGTATAAGCACAAGTTGATGTGCTTCCTAAACTTTGTGGCTTTTGCCAGCCTGGATATGCTGCCTCTGCATCAGTGACATATCTCTGCCCTGAATTTTCTCAGGCTTCATCTATACCAAACCTTCCACTGCTGCTAACACACCTGCCCTGATCTGGGGTGAGTAGTACACAGTATTACTGAAGCCATTCAGCATGTTCCACTAGGAATGTGTTGTGTGGACAAACTGGGGTATGAAGTGATACCTAAGGAGACATCACCCATCCTCGTGTTTGTAGCTGGAAACTTTGTTTTAGTTCAAAATGCACTGGTGTCATCTTGATTTGAATCTAACTGAAACAAAACATGGCATTGCACGTATTGGCTTACAGTGTGTTTTTGTAAACAGTCATT